GATGGAGTTATTTACTAGTTTATCCACACTTCAGGATAGTTAATACTATTTAATCTTTATATCTTAGTTGTAAATCTCACTTCTTACAACTTTTGTTGACTTTGTGTTGACCCATTAGCTACTGGTGGATATGCATTTTGCCGCATTTATAATTGTGGTTGCACAGCTTTTGAAAATGTGATGGCAAGAAAATTTTCTTCACTGAATTACCTTTTGTTGATCATTCATTATCAAATGGGACTATTTCGACGGTTGAATAAACAGTTGAATGACTAGATAATAGCAAATATTCGTATAAGTAAAATCCATAATATTAAGAAACATACAGAATATGGTTAATACTGTAGTATACTCAGTAGAGCTACCTTTTGCCAAAAGCCTATACTCTGATATTTACCGTGCCGGGCACTTTTGATCTAAGTAATCACTTAGGTGTATTCGTTTGGATACTTGCGTAATACTCACTCGTTCTACAAGCAACAAAGACTGTCAAAGTAAAGTTTAGACTTTAACAGTTTGTGTAAAATATGTTCTAACTACAAACCTCAGGAAGTTTTAAAAATTGGCATTTTTCAGGGATTAAGTTCATTTCATGAGTTCCCTAGTAGGCAAAATGTTTGCAAAGCAGACCACTTTATACTGTCATGGAGTCTTATTTCCTAAGTTAGATATAAACATACCTTCGCTGCTTTATGCACTTAATGGGAGAATACGGACTTGAACATGCTTTATGCGGTTTGTGATTACTCACTGAAATAATAATACCACTCAATTTCGGAAGGATTCCGTAGACAGCGATTCACTGGCAGTATTCATCACACATGACATTCAGACTTAAACAGCAGGATTGCATGGTCGACATTTTATAAGCTCAAAGCGATTTCAACGTTAATAAATCTGCTATTTTACTTACCTTCCATAAGGTTATTCAAAGTGAGGCTTTATCAAACCAAAAAAATTTACTTTCAAACATTTTTCCTTCTCATGATGAACCTATGCATTGCTTTGCTACATATCTTTCAGTTCCAACCGATAAGAAGCATCACCATACGTTTGCTGAGATTAGCAGTTTTGTGTGGTTTTCTGATTGTTATGAAACTAATTACAAATCATTTATTCCTTACTTCAGCAAATCTTTCAGGTGAATGATCATGCAATATTATCTATCGTCTAGGCTCATTCAAGATAGGAACAAAAACCAAAGTTAAAATGTTGCCTGAGATCATTGAAACATCCTGTTGTTCAACGCAATCCTTTATCTTGTCACTAACTATTTCTTTCTGATATAATACTGAAATGAACTTGAGCAACGTGACTTATTGTACCTGTATAAACCTCTTTACAAAAAGTAATCTATCTTTCATAGAAGCCAGTATATCATTATAGGATTTTGTTCAGTTATGAAATATTCACCAAGAAATGAGAACAGATCCTATGAGAAGCTTTTTCAAGAGTCTGTATTTCATGCAATTTAAACAACATCTCTCCGATGGTTCTAAATATCTGACTAACCACACTTTTATTAAACAGTAACCATTAATCTTCATTACCTCTACCATCCATAAACTTTGCTATGCTGAGTGTGATGAGAAATACAGATAAATGTTGATTTATATCATTGTATGCAAACATATTGAGAAATAATAATAACAACCCATACTGCATAGGTTGAAAGATGAATAGGTAAAAACTGAGTAAGTCTTACATTTCTTGGTAGAATCGATTTTTGATCATATCACTGTTCAATTCAGCATTAGATCACTTGTTGATGAAATCATAATGTCAAGCAGCAACTATGTTTTAGAGTAAGTATACTTTCAGATCCTGAATATATGATATTATATTACAGAGCTCGTGACATGTGACAATCATTATAATAATGAAGGTAAATATATCTGTTACTTCTAATCGCTGTGACTATCTTCACCACACTATACCCATAAAATTGCGTCTCCAAGACATCGAATTTGCAAAAAACTGATAGATTTCAGATCGGAAATGATATATGCTAATAATAATCGAATTTAATGTCGACGACTAACTTCAAGTAATCAGAAAAGCCCTTTAAGTTAGTATATTATAGTAAGCATCTAAGATTTTTTTATTTTCAAGTTTTTACTCATCCTAGAGTGAAACCTTTTCGAGAACCACTGGAAACGTAGGACCTCTGGATATCAGTTTCACCCTAGTATGGGACATTTAAGCAGCGCTAGCCCATAACCCCGCCTCAACAGTGACCAAACCCAGAACCTCCAGTCTCCGTAGAGAGCACTTAGGGATAACTCAATGTTCCAAACTTTCTTAATCCTTTCAGTTCGAAATATAGCATGACCCCCATTTAATGCTGTCACGTAGTACGTGTTTACACGTCTTATTTGACTTGCCTCGACGGTCTTGGCTTGTTATTAGAATGCAAGGAAGTCTTATCTCCAAACGGATCATTAATGAACGCCATACAGTAGTTTAATTTGGAGGTTTATGGGGATGATGATGAATACCAACTTGAAATCAATAAATCCCCATAAACCTCCAAATTGACTACTTTTTGCCACTGCAAATAATACATAGAAAAAAAGAATTCTAAGTTCAAATTTAGATGTAGTAAAAATTTAATACTCCTTAAAACCAGATACTTTTGCCTTTTTGCTAGGAAGTTGTTGGCAGAAACAATTTCAAATGAGTTGAAAATATTTGATAGATATCTTATTCCAGTGGTTATTTTGTCAGATATACGACATAGGTGGTGATTTTAACCATTAGTCTATAAACATTACCTTAATATCTGCTACCTGTATTGTAAATAAACAGAGAAAAAGAGTGAGGTGAAAAGTACTCACGTTTTTAGTTTGTAAATAATACTTGATAACAGTGTAAGTGGTTTTCTGATGATCATAGTTGAAAATCGATAAAATGTAACTCATTGAACTCCTGTAATCCGGATACGGAGTGAGACTAAAAGTTAAAAGTGTTATGTGTAAAAGCGCGTATTTTTTTTTACTCCGTAACTGTGTATTTTAAAGCGAGTACTGCAATAGTAAGTTCTTTTTGCTGCAGTATGAAGCCTCGTTTAACTTACTTTGATTTATGGGCATCATTCTTCATAAATAAATGTACTCACATCCCAACTAGGAGGAGGAAGTACAACCATCACTTTACACATGAATAAACGGCATAAAACGTGATTCGATGACACAGAAAGGCTTAAAAACAATGCAAATAGGTAAAATATGCATACGGCATGCAAGTAAGTGAATTCATGCACCCCTTAAAAAACAGTAACACCCAGGGGTAACTTTTAGACTCATCGCAGATACGGGTACTGTCTAACATTTTCCCATCGTAAATATCCTTAGTCATATCTAGTTCTCTATACTCCATTTATGTTAATCATCTTGTTCATTACGACCTTCACATCCTTCAGTTGATTTTCGTCTTCTGAGTTTTTGAGGACACATATTAGGTTGTGCATACCATGTTTTCGAAATACATCATCATATACAGAAGCGTTTCCACTTGACCAACAAGTACTGAATTAAGTGTAGATAGATTTTGGAGACTGTCAAGTCAGTTCTACACTTGGTAACTTTAGGCTTAGAGAGGAAAGGTGTCACATTTCAGTACGATTTTTAGTGTTGGAATATATTTTTAGAGTTAGTTAATAACTCCTCATTGGTTTAGAAAAGGGAAATTTTAGACCATCTCCGTACGATATTTCATAGCATAAAGAATTTTAAAAACTTATCTACAAAGGTTTTTAAGGAATAATGCGTACAAAAAGGAGGCATATGATTTGACTACAGTAGTTTCTTAAATGATATCTTTACATACCTATTTCTTCATTCATAGAAATTTAGGTTAGGTAATATTTTTTGCTGAAACAAAATTAGAATTATTGGAACAGCGATTCAGAAACGAATTCATTGAAAGTTCTTTTCTCGCATTTCTTCCAACCGCTAGCCTAAAGGCCGTGTAGTTATTTAACATTTTAAATAACAACTTGCTAGTTACCTTTTGTTCATTAGCTTCTGTCAATTAACATGCATAACTTATAATCACATGGAAAATTACTTTCGCCTGGTATAGTTACTTCTTCAAGGGGAATGAACTGTTATTTAAGGGAGTAGAGAAATACAACTGTGAGTAGATAGTTAAGTAAGCAACTAGCAGCAACCAGTAAAGCAAAAATAGGAAAAAACCAAATCTCTGCAGAAATCCAAACTTTTGAAAGAAATTAACAATTTCAAAATTTGTATATTTCATGCAACTATGGTACCAATGAGGTATTTAACATTGGAATTTCAATAGATGAGGAAAAACATCTTTACTGTTACCGGAATTGTTTGAAATTATGCTTCAATTAATGTCTTTTCGATAATGTCATTTATACTGCTTAATTTTCTCCATCCTGAATGTTTCTGAATTAATTTTCACTTTGATATGTGTGAGTAGTATTCTCAAGATCCTATTCTTAAAACCATGTAGAAATAGAAATTGTGCGAACGAATGGATTTAAAAGGCCTATAAGTGGATTAGCTATTCATTGTTTGGAAGCTATTCGATTGGATTTATCTTTGCAGGGCCTGAAATTAGAATTTCGTGTCTTTGTGTGAAGTTAACTGACATCTTTGACTCTCTACTCCTGTGCACCTAATTCCGGATACATAAGGAAATATCTTTAAGCAGTTATAAATTTTACTCCGTATTTATAAACACCTTTATTATCTTTATCCCTTTCTATAAGCATAGAAAAAAGATGATATCACTTATAGTAACACAGATGTAGATCACCACCTGTCATGTGAATATGTTAAAGTTATGATTCTTTTTTATGTAACATCATGCATTTGAGTATTTAACCAATGTATGAATTACTTTTCTCATCATGATTATTATTTTAAAACGAAAAAGAAAAACTGACATGCTTAGTCTGTCTTGAGTTATCTTATTGATTAATGAAATATAATCTAAGGCTTTTGATATAAATAGAGATGCTTAGATATCCGATTATTAGTTTGGAAGGCATCATTTTACTACTTCTTTTCTCTTTATTCCAAGTTACCTCACAAAAACGGTAACAATACCAACATAGTTTCCTTTTCATTCACAATATAAGATATACAGGATAGTAAAAGATACTTTATTAATTTAAGCAACAAAAATGCCTGTAAAAATGACCACAATACAAGGGTAAGTACTTTTGGTGAATAAATGTTTATGTAGACCATAAAACTGATTAAAATGCTGAAAAGTTTATTTTAATTCCTTAGTAAAAGGTTCTATTCTTATTCATAGCAGTGAATAAGCAGTTAATTCACTGATCTGTCATACGAGTCAATTAAATGTGAACATTTCTGGACGTATGCAAGAAAGTGGTAGTAATAAAGTTTGTTGTTATACGTACCATGGCTCATTTTATTATAAAATTACATATCTCACTAAGGCTGGGAAAAGTTTAGAAAGATTCAGGTGCAGCTTTCAAAGTGTTTTAATTCTCTTATCGCACAGAATAATATTTTGATGCTCACTTCATTCGACAATATTTTCCCATGGCTATTGTCAATTATTTGAAGAATTGTACGTTTTTACTTTGTTATTTCTGAGACATATTAGAGACAAATCAGTGACTGAAGATGTTAGTTAACGCAAGTTTTAATTTATATTATCCTGTAGGCAGCATGAATTATTACAAATCATAAATAAGCGCCTACTTGATATCTAGGAATAACATTGGTGTTGATAGTTATCTTCAATGCAGTTTTAAGGTTATTCTAGACTGGACCAATTTCTTACTTCGAAAGACTGCAAGTTACTTCAGTTGGTCAGTTCTTATCTCGTGTCAATGATGAGAAAAATGTTCTTAGTTAACAGTTATACTGGTAACTCTACAATGCTGCCTTACCTGCTTATTATTGTACAATAACTCTTTATGTGTTGATCATTTCATACTGATGATTTCTGTGCAGTCTATCATTTATCTGTATGTTAACGATTTTTTTGACTTGTTACTGGAAAAGCCAAGATAATAGGACTGAACTGGTTTACTGTGAATAATTATCGACTAACATATATTCTACAAAGTGAAACTGAAACAAGTTTTAATACATATATTTAAAGTTATATGGTTTAAAGATATGCACTCTTAAAATGACCTGGGCACCTTTATTCGCTAGCAATCCTTAGTATTTAATCAAATCATGAACCAGTCTAAACACAGGCAAGTTGTTAGAGGTACTTTGCTGAACTCAAACAACAAAGCATGCAGTGTGATTACTGAACTATCTGACTGTGTATCACGAGGTATTTTATTTATTTTTGGAGAGAAATTGGTTCTAACAACTACGTTTTGTGCTCATTGGCAGTGATCTGCAAGAAGAATCCAGATTAAAATCAAGAATAATCATTCGGTGGATGTCAACCTTGGTCGATAGAATAATCAATCGAAATAATCACAGCTCATGTCCATGATCGGTCTATGCTGTCATGAATCTCTTAATAAGTATTGATATTTTTCACATTTAGAAAGAAACATGTTGATAACAGCTCAAAAGTGTAAACTCAACAATTAATTTAAACAAAGCATTGTCTGTCTTTGCTAAGGCAACTCAGAATCAGTATATTTTGTTTCAAGATAAAAAAGGGTGTCTATTGACTAACCTTTTCAAATATATCAAAGCTTATTTACTAGTAATAATCAGTGGCAATAAAATGTGTTTATAATTTTCAATTTATGTAAAAAGAGCAACATAAAACTTTCAAAAATCTCCTTTGTTCAAGGCTGAAAGATTATGTTATTCAAGTATGTTCTTCAATACTGAAATATTTTCATAGAAATATTGTCATTTTCCAGAATACTAAACACTTAACTCATTGCCTCTGGTTGTAGAAGTTAGTGTTTGCAAATAGTGAGTGCTGCAGATCGAAGACATATGCATTTATAATTTATTCTTTGTTTTTTCATCAAACTGAATATTTGCCACTTTGCTCCATCTGACTTTGTACGGTTAAGAGAAATGAATAGCATCTAAAACCCATGAAGCACTTTAACATGTTCGACTAAGTCTAATTCTATTTAATATAGGAAGACGGAAAGCATACCAAAATAAACCATGAATGCTTAAATAAAAAACATTTATGTATCACTTAACCGATTATATAATCGAGGTAGTTATAGTCTTCCGTTAAAGGTTTTGATTTTTTCCGTAATATGAGACAGTAATACTTTTTACATTCTCCTTAATCTTGACTTTTAGGCTTAACAAAAGAATTAAGTACGTCTCAATCAGACACTATCCTTTCTAATTACATGCGTTTGCTTATTTACTTTTTTGTTCTAGACATTTAACTTCATTCTCTCACACCATGAATAAATTTAAAGCAATGGACAAGGCGAATAATCCACAAGGTGTTAAACCAAAGTAAGTTATGTATAACTAAACTCTCATTTACACGAATATTTTTCAACCAGTTAACATATTACTTTTAAGTCAAGATTTTTCAAGTAACTAAATAATATCATAAAGGACTGAGAGCATTTTCACGATATAAACAGTAATATGGATGGAAATCTAATCAGAAAAGGGTATAAAAATACTTCTACCTCAATCTAATATTGTCAGTACCGAGATTTCACTTATGTTTTGTTAATCATAACGTTCTTATTTCATTACACTGTTTTCTTTGCTTGAAATTCACACACAGCGAAAACTGTGGGGATAGACTAGTTTGATAAGGGATCACACTCTACCACGTAGGACCACTTCTGTACTTAAACAAATAAAAGAACATAGTTATAAATTCTGGTAAAAAGTGTGGATTAACTGGAACTTTTTCACCTACATTATTCACCATTGCACAGCCAGCATTATCTTTAGGAGTTTACTGGTCAAATTAGAACTATTTTGAAATAAATATGCAAAACATTGATAGAACGAACTTATACATTGCTGATAAAACAGTGCTCACAAGTTTCCAGTCTCAATCTTAAAGTTTGTCACAAATCACTTTTGATCCCCCAACACTGCGCTATTGCATATTTATTCAAACAATGTTATTATTATTATCATCATTATTTGTGCCTTGGGTTCCAGGTGGGACATGGGGCTTCAGTAGTACGTTTCCACTGCACTCTGTTCTCAGCAGTATTTTGAAGCTGGCTCAATGACTCTCCACAACCTTTCGTTTCTTCTTCACACCAACACCTCCATGTCACCCTCGGACGCCCAACTCGTCGTTTCCAATGCGGGTTACACTCGAGGGCCTGGTCTGACGCGTGATGTCCGCGAATGATCATCACAGTGTATGTACAATCCATCTCCACTTTCTTCTACATATTTGTTTTGTGATTGCCTCTTGGTTGGTTCGTTGGCAAACCAGAGACAGTCCCTTGTTCCCTATTCTTTCTGGCCATCTGATCTTCAGTGGCAGTATCAAGTGAGTGTAGACGTAAGCTGTTAATGAATGTCTGCAGTTTGTTGAACATGCTTTTTGTGACGCGCCAAGTTTCTGAAAAATATGGCAGCACTGACTTGAATGAATTATCATTCAAAATCCGAATCTTGTTCACGCTTCATGCTGAGTGCAGTGTAGTAGATCTCCACACTGGTTAATGAAGGCTTGTTATTTTTGTTGATGTTGTTGTTGTTTGATATCTTCATCACCTCTGTCTTCTCTATATTCACTTGAAGTCCCGTTTTCTCTGCCCTGCCTCTTCTGTCAACTTGTTGGCTTTTGTCTGTGGATCATTGAGTTTCTGCGATATTAGACACAAGTCATCATTAGCGAAATCCAAATCTTCTAGGGTCTTCTGATTGGTCCAGCCAGCGTATGCCAATCTCTCTCCCCTCACAGTTCGTTGCATGATCCAGTCCACCACAATCAGGAAGATGATAGGTGACAGTAGGTGGCAAAATTGTCTTACTCCTGTCTTCACTTCAAAGGCGTCGCTGAACAATCCATGGTGAATTACTTGGCATGTGGCGTCATCAAATAGTTTTTGAACGAAGGTAATGAGAGTTTGTGGCACCATAACCGTAGTGTTGAAGCAGCTGCCTGCCAAATTACTTTTCGGTCGACGCTGTCCATAGTCTTCCAAAATCGATGAAGGTGAGGTTTAGTTGGTTAACTGCGATTGTATGCTCTGTTCTATGATGTGTAGCGTATCGTCACAATTTGGTCTGCACATGATTTATACTTCCTAAATCCAGGCTTTTCCTGTCGTAATTTTGAATCCAGCCCACCCTTTAGTCTCTCCAAGATGATGCGGCCTACTATTCTGCTTGGTGTGGACAGTGACAGGATAATGATCCCGCTCCACTTATTGCAAAGACTTAGGTCGCGATTCTTTGTGAGTTCGACAAGGCAGCTATTCTCCCAATCAATCTGCAGGTACATTTCCTTCCACCCGTACCTTCTGCAATAGTGTTGTGAGCATATCCGCTGCTGTCTCTGCGTCTGTTCTCAGTGCTTCTGGTGCGATTCCATCTGGTCCTGCTGCTTTTTCGGACTTCAGCAGCTTCATGCTGCTCAGGACTCCACTTCTGGTTGCGTTGGAGGGCTTGTTTTCATTGGTAATTCTGTGGCTGGGCTGCTCGTGATATTTCTGGACGAGTTGCAAGTATTAGTGGTGGTCTATTTAAGAGTATTTTGAAGTGGCCAGCACATTGTTTCCTTTGTTACTTCTCTTCGGTAACTGGATTTCATTCACTATCTCTCATTGGTTTCATATGTGTTGATCTCTTCCCTTCCAGAAACTATCTTGCTTATTTGATATAGTGTTGTCAGGTCTCTGTCTCTCCTATCCGTGGCCTGTTCTCCTTCACTTGCAAGTGTGTCTTAGAAGTGTCTTTTGTGTTTGCGTGCACTCTTCTTCACTTCCTTGTCCAGTGTAGTGTTTTATAGGTTGTATTCAGTTCCTCTTTCCGTTGTTCATCCATGCAGTGTTTTATCATGTGCTTCACCATTTTCCGCTCCTGCCTCTATCAGGTTCTATGTGTCTGTGGAGATTCGTTCCTTGTCTGTCTTCTTCTTCCTTCCTGGTAGGCTAATGCAGGTTTCCTTCCATGTCGATTTCACCGAGTTTCAGTTTTCTTCGAAGCATGTTTCCTCGGATATGTCTCACATTTTGTCCTGATGACTGACTGACGTGAAAATGTACTCTGTAGCTTCATCTTCCAGTCCAGTTTCGGTTCTGGGCGTTCAACTTGAACTGTTACCGTCTGTCATCAGCTTCTTTGGACTGAAGACTTTCAACTAGATTTAGAAAGTTGCTTGCAGTAAACAGTGACTGGTGTGAACCTACATCTGCTCCCTTCGAGATGAAGTCGATCTGATTATTTGTGTGGCCATCTGATGAAATTCATGTTGCTTTATGAATATCCTTGTGCTTGTACACACTGCCTCAAATCAAAAAGTCATTAAATGCACAGAGTTCTTCATACAGGTCTCCATTCTCGTGCGTCATTTCACTTAGTGCTACTCGACCCATGATTCGTTTTCTCCCTGTTTTGTCCGCTCCCACTTTGGTATTCATGTCACCCATTAGAATGAATTTTAATGTCGCCAACTGGTGTGGGGTCTTGTCCATTACTGATTGCAGTTGTCTGTAGAATTCCTTCTTTTGATCTGCGTAGTGTAGCAATGTATGATTGTAACTTTTTTCCTCTTGATTTGAATCTTCCCGTCACGATCCTGCATGAGGAGATTTGTTTCTGTTATATGAGGCCCTTCGATTCTCTTGGGGACATCATGATACTCACTTCCTCAGTGTCCTTGTGGTTGTCATCTGCGTTGCAATTTCGGAGTAGATTATTGACTCTCCAGTTGACGGTTGAAAGAGTTCACTTCCATTCTATCTACTTTCGCAGATTCCAAGCACTTCTGCGCCATACCTTTTCATCTCTTTGTCAATCTGGGCAGCCTTTCCGGCCGACTTTAAACATTGTACAAACATTCTGTGTCTCCATGCTTACTTCTGCTTTCATCGAGAGAAGACACGCCGGCCAATTGGCCTTCTGAGGACTTTCACTAACCGGCGTCACTCCGTCTCACCAATTTCAGCGAGAAATATGTTCATTTTCATTTTTTATGGACTGAGCAACCTACTCCGTCAGTCTCAATATGGCATCACCTGTTTTACATCAGATATATTGAAACTGAAAATAAGTGCTAATTCAGAGTTATAAGAAGTAATTGTTTACGTTAGTAGCTGAGCTAAATTTTTCCCCGTACAGTACTTATAAGTATGACCGTAAACCAGCGAAACTGCCATTTGATGTTAACGTCACTCGTACCTTACTAGCGAAATCTGTTTGTCACCACCTAAGATACCTAACCATTTATATACTTCCCTGCTGAGTACCCAAAAGATATTCAACGCATTTTGCGTACGGTTATGAAGGTGGTAAATACTAGTTATCTCAGGAGTATATCTTTAATCTATGATATACTCAGGATGAGATTATACACAACAAATTGATGTAATTCTTACGCAAACGATGAGCAACTTCGTGAATATGAAGATATTACAGTAGTTTTATGACACTAGTTTGTAGGAAGACTTTATATGCTTACATTAGTATATGTTCATATCCTGAAATTATGCGGGAAGCTTTGCGAAAATAATTTTCTTCAGCTTTTATATTAAAATCTTGATACATGATGTTCATATATTCATGAACGTAAGCCGTAAGACAAGATCATGAGAAACATCGTTGCGGAGGTGGGAAAGAAACTATCGCTAATATTAGTTGGTTTTTCTAGAACAAAATTTGTTAGTAAACTTCAGTTTTACATAACAGTGATGATTATGGTTGTAAGAAAGCATGCCTTGGCAGTTAATGATACCGCTTGTAAACCAATAACTTGTCGATTTGCTACTGCGATAACTTTATTCCAATCTATCTGAATTTACACAAAAGTTTGGTCCCCTGGAATCATAAAAGCTGTTCACCTAGATAAAGTCTTGCTGCATCGCTTAATGATTTTTTAAATTATCAGACCTGGTTGATGCCTGAATCTTTCCTAACTACTGAAATAATAAATTGCCAATCTCAAAACTTTCTGTCGCATTTTGTATATATTTCAAGTCTTATTTGATACTATGCTAACCATCTACATCTTCAAGTCAAACTAAAAACAATAAAGTAGAAGCGCTCATTATTATTCTACTATCCAGTCAAGTTCTCGTTATTTTATGATGCACATGAATAAGGGTTTCTTAAAGCCTTCTTAAAATAAAAACCAAAGTTAACAGGATAACGAATGTTGGGCATATTGACTTTCAATTTTGTTTTATAGCTTTGCCTCTGGCGGTAAGGGCGGACAACCTAATGCAAAACAAATTATGCTTGATTGGTGTCGAGCTGCAACTAAAGGATATGAGGTAATCAGAAAGTATTTTGCAGTGTAATTTCGAATTTATATTTACATGTACCATCATCATAAAGCCTTTTCTACGGAAATGTATAAGGAGGGTACCAGTTATTATTTTAATTATTTCGACGTTGGCATATCATCCTACTTTCAGTTAACCACTTCATAAAATGCGTTAAATTTTTAAAAAGAACATATAACTATCATAAAGTTTATTTTCACCGGAGGAAACCGTGCATGCGCTTACTGGTGAATACTTGAACAAAAATACAATAAATGCAACTGTTATGAAATCAAATCCTACAGTCATCACTAGAGACAGTGACAGTTCCCAAAATCTTTGAATAAATGAGCACTAGAAGCATGTAATCACCAGTCAGACAACTAAATCATTGTAAATCAAATAAAAAATGTAACTGTACAGAAAGCATTTAATTCCAAGTAAGATGGCAAAGGTTATTTTTCGAACGACAGGATGCTGTTAAAGAGCGAACAGAGGATGTCCGATTACAACTGAATCATTCTTCTCTACTATGCTGGATTTTCAACCGTTATGTGAGATTACAGGTGAGGAACGAAACTGACATATATGTGATGAGAGTGTTCTACTTTTCATTAAAAACCACTGTAGTATATGTGCCTTCAAAACTTTCATTGCTTGTTCGCTGTATTACCGAATGCATACAAAACCATGCTTTCAGGCTGTCTTGTTCTCTACATGGCGTAAAATCTATCGAAATGTCAATCACATAGGTCATTTATGATCAGCATGTGGAAGGGAACTTTCGAACTTTGACGAAAACTTACTGTTTGTCAAGTCAAGTTACTTCAGCAACGAAAATCCCTCCGAATCATATTTCGCTTCAGTTTATAAACACCTATAGTTGGAACTGTGACAAGTTGTCTGTATGTAGACAAACATTATGCGTAGTTCACCGATTAACTTATCAAGTATAAGAAATAACCTGAATATTTCTTATTCTCTTTTACCTTACGATATAAAGCTTATCTCTTGACCTTAACTAACTTATTCGCTTTAATATGAAAACCTTTTTAAGAAATAGGAATATCGCAGGACTGATCTGAAAGTGGATTAGACAGGTTTATTCATTGTTGGATAGGAAAAATATCATGAATACTGACCCCTGCCACAAATAGTGCAAAATGACCAAACATCAGAAATCAAATTTCTAGGTATCACAAGAAATACTATCATACTTCACTTTCATCAAGCTGTGGTAAATTACTTTTCCTGGAAATTAAAACTTGTAAGATCAGTACTTGGTTATATCAGGATAATCAGATTATTTCGTAATATGGTAGTATGTTTTTATGAACAAAATAACCAATGCAGCAACCATCTCTACAGTACATCGAACCAATCTTAAATTTTGCTACCTGCAAAAGTAAAAATAAATCTATTTCATTTTTAAATTTACTTTCTGCATCGTTATTTATTGGTCTGAAAGTTAGGTAAATTTAGTCTGCTTCTTCTATTCCACTGGAGTTCTTCGAAGAAATCAGTTATTTAGATCAGTGCCACAAAATTGTCATCATGAAGGAGATAGATATCTTACTAATATTGTCTTTTCAACCTACGGTGAAAATTGAAATTATACTTTTTTCTGCTTTCTGTTCGTCAACATATCTGTGGACATTCTAAATCAGTTTAAAATTCAGTGACCATTACTTTGAATCATAACAACTAACTAACTTAATGAAATGAAATATGCGGCTTTAAATGTAAGAATAACAAGATATATACTATTAAGGCAGTAAAATCACCCATTGTTGTTTATTCGCCTAATCATAAAAACAAAGCAATGGATCGGGATCAAGTTACAACTCTACAAAGAAGATAATAGTGTAAGCTTTTTCAGTTGGATTAGTATGACTGCGATTACTTGCTTGCATAAACAGATCCTTTGACAAACAATGGCACTAGTTGGCATGAAACTGCCGCATAGACATTTATCCAAAATGTCTAATTGATTGCGCATATGGCCTACAGGGTATTGAGAACAAATTAGTATTATAACTGTGTCAGTTTTCTGATGCCGTTGAGTGTATTTGAAACTTAGTCCGAAACATATTTTCAGTCACCTAATTTTGTGAAACAGATAATTCTGATCGACTGTTCCGAGGATTTAATTTTTTTTCAAAGTATCCAGAAAGATACATAGATTGAATGGATCTTATTCTTTGCAGTGCACTATTACTCACTGAAGATAAGGAAAATCCACCATGTTTTTTTCACAATCCCTTAATTTCTTGAGGAGGAATATATTACCACTTTAGGATTTTTGTTCTCCAAAATTTCGGCGGTTAACCTTCCAAACATTTCCACTTACCGTCTTACATGGTCCCTAATATTCTAGGTGGGATTCAGACAACCAGACCTTACTACTTAGAAGAAACTGATAGAGGCTATGAATACCGGTAAACTGCGTCTGTGTGACTTTTCGAGTTCACTCATATTTTTCACAAAAGTTTATGGTTTTAGGTGCTTCATATTACCGTATGCATAACCACAGATGATCATTTTTGTGCTACGGACCTTCTGAAATTTAGTGATCTACTAACCAGTTACTTTACATATACTTCCAGTTGCCAAACCCATATCAACCTACCTAAATAGTCAGATAAACACGCGTAGTTTGCAAGCTGCAATACCTTGCGGTTTTTTGAAAATACGTTCTTTCACACTGCTCTATATATCACGTCTATTCAAAAGCTAACCTTCTTTGAAGCAGTCAAGCCCATACCGAATACCGTTCAGGAAATAACACCAAGCTTTGCGTTGTGTCCAGTCCACCGAAAGACATTATCCTCAGGAACTACGTTTTATGCTGTGTTTGCAGAATATCTTTCAGATATCAGTTAACTAAGTTTGATGCATACTGGTACCTGTCAGTATAGTACATCTGCTAACTTCAAGATACTTGTGATCTTTCTGACATGCAGATGTATGGCACAAAAAGCGATAGCTAAATATTATAACCTCATGATTTTGAAGAATAGACAACTGACATTTTCTGGAGAGTATAAACCTATGATATGACGGCTAGGTGGTAAGTGGATTGTCCCTTGACAGTATTCTTAGAATACTAGGGCAATACTTTGAATTATATTGTCACTAATCGGTGTACTTTCAAGTCTGAGGTAACACGTAAAGTCATCCAAAATGTCAATGGCATTCTAAGCAAAATGAAAGCGATCACGAAAGTTATGCCACAAATTTCCACAACAGTTAAGGGTTCATGGTATAACTAGTGACATACGTACTCAGACTTTATGTGATGCGTGACCAAACATTACAGGAAAGCTGTAAATCTGAGATTTTAACTGAAAGATTCAGTCTTAAAGAAATGATTAAATGCACCTCATCATATTGTTTTGTTGTGAAGTCAGGCATCCTTTTGCTTCAATTTGGATGAATTACAATAGCTCAACAGACCGGCGATTAACTATTAATAACTACCAATAAACTTGCGATTTCCAGTGCTTAGTGAGGGTTTTCACTTTAGCCGTCTGCAACACTTGAGTCCTTACAGTAAATCAAGAAACCTGAATTACATACTTTCGAATTCTTATCCGAAAACTAGTCAATCAATATAGAAATCTTAATCAAACCTTGGGATATGACATTTCTTTGTCAAGAGGTGTAATTGGTCAAGCATTTGAAAAGGTCTAGCAATTAGTAGATAGATGAACAGAAGCCGTGAAAGAAAGATTTAAGAATGAATTCTTCTCAGCCTCGATTCTCTCTGCAAAAACGGTTTCCATATTATAATAGACATGTTTCAGTGAAACGATTAGGCTCATAAAGTATCTTTGATAACATACCTAAAGGAATATGAAGTTATAAATTATCTATTTTGCTATCACTAAGCTAGATATTGGTATCCAGTATCAAAAATATCTTCTTTATTCTGTACATTTTTTAAAGCAGAAAGCTCTTTTGGATAAATAAACATACTGTGTTTTATAACCTTTAGTTAACAGAGTTTCTAACTAACATGATTCGACAAAGAAAGCGGAATAATTGAGCATAACATTTTTTATTTTTACTTGTTATTGACTTGGTTGACTTGCGATTTCATGTTTTACCTAAGTAAATTTAGATTATTTTATGAAAATGCATAGAAATACAGCAACTGAAATGAAAAAATATCTCAAGCAGTATAACAATACGCATGTATATTTGTTAGATTTGGAGCTGAAAACTTCTGTTCAGAGAAGTAATAATTCATCTTTTGATAAAAACAAAAGTTGTATATCTACTTTTTAAACGGAAGGCTTTGATGAATTTGGCGAAGACTTATAGAGGACTTTCGCATTCATAGAAATAAATGTTCAGGATTTTAATGAATTTTCAAAATGACTTGTAAGGTATCAATAGCAAACTTTGAAACGTACTGATCTCCCGTTGATGAGATATAACAAATAAACTCAAGTTGGGTACGAGGAAATTATTTGGCATTTGTTCGGCAATCCTATTTTGCATGGTTTGATTAATAGTTGTCCGAATAAAAATGACAGATAACAGGATTCAAACATAATATCACAATTTGAAAGCATTGCCCGTAGATCAGAAGTGTGAACAATAGCCTGTACTTTCCTATCCCTACGCTAAGTATGACAATACTGACTGAGCGAATGCCTACACTTACATGAATGTTGAAAATTTAGCTACCTTAGAATTTGTCACTTATTATCCTCAATATAGAACTGAATGAACCATTGTTGTAAGGTTCTATGTAACAAGTGCTTTTTCCAATTTAGATACTGTAATCATGATAAAGTATTAGAAAAATGTGATGCATTTATATTACATATTTTAAAGAAGCTTATCACGGATTGCTTCACTAGGTATCTTTGGTGAAACGTGAAAATGTACAGTCATGAGATAAAACAGGTCTGTTAATAAGAAATCCAAAAGTATGAAAATTAATAAAGAAAGAAAGAAAAGAGCTTTTGTAAATAGCCTAAGTATTTATAAAACAAGAATGATAACAGAGTAGGCCTACATTAAGGACAAATTGTTCCGAACTCATAAGAAGGCTGGGATTGCTTTTGACGGGTGCTTCAGCAAATCTAAGTTTCCTTTCTTGTTAAATTATCTGCCATTACGAGGTTCATCATATTTGACTACACTGAATTCATTTCTAGAGTACAGTATATAGGTGTAACATGATTTTCAGAAAACTTACATATTTTTCTGTAAATGATTCAATTATTATTAGGTGTATGTAGTTTGGACGTATGTCCAACCATAAACCCTAAAAGTTATGTTGATCATAAACGTAATAGGACTATTCTTTCATCCAATGGCTCACAAGTCAACCTAACCATCATGTTGTCTCTGCTCAAGAATTGTGAATTTATAATTACTTATAATCAGTAAATGCACGCCAATAATCCTACCCTAGAGTATAATGTGGCTTTAATTTTACCCCGGACTATGAAATTGTAGCAACCTTATGGAAAACATCTCTTTATAAATGTCAGGAGAGATAGACGTTGCTATCTGTTCATAAGTACACAACATGCTTAAACTGAAAAGATACACATGTCAAGGTTGTCTCAGAAATAACACCTAATTTTTAAATCTTGTTGTCTTGTCTCTTCAAGACAGAAGAAAGAAAGTTTCGTATATTTCAATCTTCTCTTTTGTGTATCTTTGCCGGTGACCTGATAGAGCCTGGATTACGTAAATGTGGACGCGTGTACAAATACCTCCAAATTCCACCCTTACTGGTCACTCAGTTTCCCTTACACATTGACCCACGTGTTTTTTCCGAAATCTGGAAGCAAAGCAATTGATTGAAAAAGGCTTCAAGCATATGCCGTTACCAACGAAGATTTTGTCAGTCTTTCTGTACACTATAACACCTCCCCCTTGAAACAGAGATTGAAAATACGATTATGTGTTTTGATTGACTGGTAACGCTTTGCTGGATCGCGACAAATTATACCTTAATGCTTTTCTTCTGTATCTTTGCTGTGGCGTAGTCTGAGGTAACTGAAGAGTAGTTGGAAATGACGGGAATGATTTACAAGCTCTTTGAAGAGGAATATTTCATGAACCTTTTCCTTCCCGCTTAAACGAAGCAGACATAAGTATTTTCAACAACATTTCCCATAGCTTGAAATATGGAATTCCAAAATGGTACGCCACTGAATTTTCCAAAATGCTTAAAATCCATTCCAACCAATTGTGTGGATTGATGCGTTGTAATGGAGCTTTTAACAGTGAAGTGGTAAAACGAATTTGCAAACATCAACAAACCGAATTCAGTTAAGCTATTTTGAAAAAGCAGGGCTGTCATTGTTTTTGTTCTGTTTACCAACAAGCCTCAGTTTTTTAGATGACAGCCAGAGATTGTGTGTCCAGTTTGAGTCCAAGTAATCTTAGTGTAGTTGATCTGAATGATAAGCTACTCCGCCATGCGACAAATCACAATAGTCAAGACCACAGTATTCTATCCCGATGTCTTGCCTCTTACCGCCTGATGCCCTGTGAGCGTTCTGTGAATTTGGGTGAATTCAAGGTTTATCAGTTGCCTGCTGACTACTTGATACGTTGTCTGAAGCAGAACTGGCTTCCAGAGAATCCTAACGTCTATTTACACATATGGACAAACATTTTCTTTGATATAGTAACTCACTAACATACGAAGTAACTATGTCATTTGATTTGTATCCAGAGGCTTTGAACCTCCTTGGATATCTGTGTAATTGTTAATGTTGATGTTTGGGCTTGTGCTGGTATTTATTGAGAACTTTTTGTGGACATTCACTGTGAGGTACAATTGTACAAAGGTTGGATAGCACTAAACATGCTAGGTAATTTGCACACTCTCTACAATTACTTCATGGTTTTCAACAACATGATCCAATTGAATGTCTCCATCATTTACTATTTCGTATAAGGTAGTGGAGGGTTTAATATCGCTTTCATTCATTGATGTAATATAATTCATATAATCATGCCTCTTGAATTCATTTCCAGCTTCACTACATCCATCACTGAAGTATTTAAGAAAAGATTTTTCCAAAATCTGAGGACATATAAATGTAGTTTTTAGCTGAATGTCATCTAGTATTTGCTTTGATTTCTCAATATTCCTCAATGATGAGGCTTCCATTCCTTCATTATAGCGTTGGTAAAAAGATTAAAATTTTTCAGCAGAATAGGTTGCCACTTTTCCGAGGGGAAAAAAATACTTCAAGCATATATGGTTTCTGATGAAAATTTTATTATTCTTTCTACACACTGTATCAGAAAGAGACAAAAGGAATTGATACAGTAATCGAAGCAGAGAGCATAAACGTTTAGCGTTAATCATGAATAAATATAATTCAAATCTTAAAATGAAGAAGCACAATGCAACTATTTCTACAACTTCGAAAACTTTTACACGATAAAATTCTTCATAATACCCACAAGCTTTGCTACCTAGTTCCATCTTCAGGCTAGTTAGTAACTAGTGGGTAACGCGTGTAGCTGTTCAGTACTTGGAGCTTAACACTGGTTGAAGTATACTGACCAAGTTGTGCAGTGTGATATGTAAGCAGTATTTTCATACATAAGAAAACTAACACATTTTCGTGAATACACCTAAGATGTCCCCATTCATCAACAAGTAAAGCTGCTCGTATTCGTAAAGTTCTGTAATAGCTTATTCGCCTGTCATGTTTAACCTAATTTAACTCTTTCTTCTCCTTAATAGTAGGGATTTTTAGGTGTCTTATAGTAAACGATGTCCTGACAACTAAATTATGGTTCACGTCTAGATAACTTACAGGAAATTTAATCAAAAAATAACAGAACTAAAAAGATACTTTTTTGTATCTGTTTAATAAAATTTCATTTACAGCTAAATTTTAATTGCAATTGTCATTCTATTTAAGCAGTATTTGTTGACTGCATAAATGTTACTTTTAATTTTCATCCTTACACTTCCCACATATTTAATCGACTAGTGTAGTTCCTAATCTTTCAGTAGAGGAGGAAAATGGAGAGTGAAAAATTAACTTTATGATCTTTAGCATCATTGCTGTAAACTGCAAATATTCCACTTTATTTGCTCATATTGGAAAATAAAGATGAATGCAAGTTTTTATTTTGATTAAAGCCAACTGACCCAGGTTTTCATTCAGTCATGTAATAATTTAATAATCCTCAGTATATTGTACCAGACTTCTTGATGTTTTCCAGGTCTTTACCGAATATTCATTCAGTCGTGACTGAAATGTGCTCATTTGATTGTTTTGTATCTCATTGATAAAGGCACTCATTGATAGCTTTCATAACTCAAGATTTGCCCAAGTAAACTTGTCACTAAAGTTTATATGAAGCCTTTGAAGCCATCCACTTCTTGAATCATATAGTCATACCAGTGAAGTTTATAACCGAAACATTTTGCAATGAATTACTCAGATCGTTACTATTTCATTCAAGGTTTAGATTATTTTGAAAAACTAGTAAAAATATATACCTAATCATTTCCTAGTAGTTTAATTTCTTATACCATAAATGCCAAATGAAAACAACTTCCACTGTGGTCCTGAACGATATACATTCCTGTTTATTTGTATTTTCAGGGCGGTTTAACTCTATATTTTCCATTTTCTGATTACATTTAGGGCGTGGATATACAAAACTTTGGAAGTAGCTGGGGTGATGGTTTAGCATTCTGCGCATTAATTCACCATTTCTATCCGGATTCATTCGACTTTTCTACCTTAGATCCAAAAAATAAACGAGCTAACTTGGAATTAGCATTTGAAAAAGCTGAGTAAGTTTTATTAGTATCCGCAGATATGCACACATCTGTTCTAAACTGCTAATATGTACATTGTTGGTTAACAGTTGAATGCAGATTAACTTTATGTAATTCGAAAAATTGCTCTAAGACCTGGGATTTCCTTCAATGGCTTTCTGTCCTCAGTAGGACAGAAATCATTGACTTGAGACTTGACTTGATTTCAGTCAATCTTCGTCTTCTTAATAGACGTGAACTTAATATTACACTACGTCCAGTCTTCTGTTTATACATATGTGCTTCATACATTTTATTGGAATCTCTGTTTTCTTCTACGGACTTTCTCATTTTTATTGTAGCAGTGTCTCAGTTCCAACTAAGAAATACACTTCTGCTTGTTTTTATAAAGGAATATATAACACACATCAATCATTTCTCACCCTATCTTCAAAAGTTTTTCGTGTAATCATTTCCCTCTAAGTACTAAGTCATTTCAGATGTTCACAGCATTTGCTAAAAGTAATCGTTACTACATACTGTACTTTTATAACAGAAATTATTTAGTCAGATTATTATCGACCTTTATTACACGTGATGGAAAAAGTTAGTTTCTGCCATTACTAGAAATAATGCTAACAAAGAATTAATGTCCTATTTCTTTGAAGAAATACATCCACACCAAAAACACCCCCCCTTCTTTTTGTTTTGTTTCTATCTACCTGGTACGAAAACTTTATTTGATTGATAAAATATGAGAAAGAGTTCAGAAGTGATAAGAAATAAGTCTGATACCATTAAATGAAATAAGTAAGTACTAACGTGAATTAAATCTTCCTAGTCAAATTCTGTGAAGTGTGAATTCAAGTTTCTACCATCCCTTGGAGTTGTAGGTGTAGTTATTCTAAGAGATACCTATTCATCAACTTGTCATCCAAACCTAAAATGCTTAGTCAATAAACTCTGAATCAATTCATGTCCTATTTCTTGTTTTTGTCCATCTATGTTTGGTGATTTTTCTATTTCACTTGATAAGCAGACAGATTAATAAATAGATTAGTGTAAAAACTATCCCAGAATTGCATCCATCGGTTTCAGCGGTTCCTTTTGACAGAAGCCCAAAAAAGTGTGTGAATAAAAATGGAATGACATAAAAATGAACAAAAATAAAGTGCAGAAAAAGCTAACAACTTAAGTTAGGAAAATTCATAAAATCTTGAGTGGAATACATAGTGAACTTATATGAACTACTCTGAGTGATTTCCATACGACTGACCTTATTAAAAAAGTCAAAAATTTATCAAATAGCTAAGAGAAATAGTAATCAGTTTTATGGGTTGTTACCATGTATCGATTTAAATACTCCTAGCTATTACTCGGCCTAATTTCACTTCACTTAACGTTGATCGTCTAGTTAGACAAGTAGCTAAAATACTGCATAAATTTCCCAGTAATCTCACCTAGTGTGGGTGTGGAACCTCATTAACTGACTACTTTATTCCGCCTTACACTGGCCAATTACTGTGTATATTCTGCGACAGTTATTATTATACATCATTATTATTTGTCCCTTGGGTTCCTAGCTGGACATAGAACTTCATTAGCACACCTCCATTCCATTCTCTTCTCTGAAGTCTTTTCAACCTGGCTCCACAACAGCCCACAATCTCTCATTTCTTCCTCACACAATCTCCTCCGTGTCACCCTCCCCACGAACGTCCAACTCGTCGTTTCCAATGCAGGTTCCACTCAAGGGCTTGGCCTGGTGTGTGATGTCCTCGAATGGTCTTCTCAGTGTATACCCAATCCACCAGCACTTCCTTCTGCATATTTGTTGAGCGATAGCCTCCTGGTTGGTTTGTCACCAGCCACAGTTCCATGTTGCTTATTTTTTCTGGCCATTCGAGCTTCAGTAACGAGCCAGCGTATACACCTGTTGATGAATGTCTGTAGTTTGTTGGAAATGCTTTTCGTAACGCGTCAAGTCTCTGGACCATAAAGAAGCACTGACTTGACATTGGTGTTGAAAATCCGGATCTTGGATTGGGGGTGAGTGCAGTAGATCTCCACACTGGTTTCAGGTTATTGAACGCCTGTCTTGCTGCCTTTCCGATTTTGGCTGCTTTGACGCCCTCATCTGTGCCGCCTGTAGTTGAAACGATACTCCACTGCTTAGGTAGGTGAAAGAGATTACTTCATTTAAGTTTCTTATGTTGATGGTGATTAGAGCTTGTTGTTATTGTTGTTGTTGTTGGCTGGGCATCTTCATCATCAGTCTTTTCTACGTTCACTTGAAGTCCCGTCTTCTCTGCCTACCCTCTTCTGTCAACTTGTTAGTTTTCGCCTGTAGATCTTCAAGTTTGTGTGACATTAGACATAAGCCATCATTGGAGAAATCTAAATGTTCTAGGTTCTTTTCCGCGGTCCAGCGTATCCCACTCTTCTCGATCCTCACTGTTTTTTGTATGATCCAGTCCACCATAATCAGAAAGATCATGGGTGATAGCAGACAGCCTTGTTTTATTCCTGTCTTCACTTCAGAGTCGTCACTGAGCTTCCCATTGTGAATTACTTGATATGTGGCATCTTCATATAGTTGTTGAATGAAGCTGATAAAGGTATATGGTATTCTGCAGCGTTGAAGCAGCTGCCTGACAAATTACTTCTCGGTCGACGCTGTCGAAGACCTTTTCAAAGTGGATGAAGTTGACGTAGAGGGATGACTGTCATTCTATACTCTGTTCTGTGATGATGCGAAGCGTTGCAATTTGGTCCGTACATGATTTGTACTTCCTGAATCGAGCCTGTTCTGGTCGTAGTTTTGAATCCAACGCATGCTTTCGTCTCTCTAGGATGATGCGGCTTAATATTTCGCTTGCTTTGGGTGGATAGCAGCGTGATCCTGTTCCAGTTCTTGCAAAGACTTAGGTCGCCCTTCTTCGGGAGTTTGGCGAGGTAGCCCTTCTTCCAATCGGCAGGTACTTTCCACTCCTTCTTTGTAGACCTTCTGCAATAGTGGAGTGAGCTTGCCCGCTGTTGTCTCTGCATCTGTTCTCAGTGCTTTTGGCGGGATTCCATCCGATCCTGCTGCTTTCCCGAATTTCAGTAACCATATGGCATTCAGGACTTCGACTTTTGTTAGGGGATTTATGTTCACTTGTAGTTCTATGGCTGCAGGTAGGATTTCTGGACAAAGTGCAGGTGGTGGTCGATTCAAGAGCTTCTTGAAGTGGTCGGCCCATCGTTTCCTTTGTTTCTCTTCCTTGGCAACCAAGTTTCCTTCACTATCTTTCATTGGCTTTATCGTGTTGATCTCTTCCCTCCCAGATAGTAACCTGGTTATTTGATATAATGTTGTCAGGTCTCTCCTACCTGTAGCCTGCGGTCTGTTCTGCTTCACTTGCCAGTGCGTCTCAGAAGTGTCTTTTAACTTTCCGTGCACTCGTCTTCACTTCTTTGTCCAGTGTAGTGTTTTATAGGTTGTATTCAGTTCCTCTTCTCCTCGGTCATTCTTGCACTGGTCCATCTTCTGATTCACCATCCTCCTCTCCCTGTTCTATCAGCTTCTATGTGTCCATCGAGATCCATTCCTTATCTTCTTCCTTCTTCCTTCCTAATACGGTTATGCAGGTTTCTTTCCACATGGCTTTCAGAGTTCCAGTGTTCATATACACAGGTTTCTTCAGGGATGTTTCTTGATTTCTCACATTTTGTCTTGATGGCTGACGTGAAGATATCCTCTGCAATTTCATCCTTCAGTCTCTGGGTGTTGAACTTGAATTGTGGTCTGTAACCAACTTCCTTAAGGGTTTTTAACTTGGTTTGAAAGGGTTCTTGCACTAGACAGTGAGTGGTGACCTATCTCCCTTGTCCAGTGGGCTGTCTGTGTCTCAACTTTCTTGAGATTGAGATAAAATCGATCTGATTTTTAGTGTGTCTATCTGGTGAAATCGAATCCATGTCGCTTTGTGGATACTCATGTGCTTGGACACACTGCCTCCAATCACCAAATCGTTGAAAACACAGAATTCTGCCAACAATTCTCCATTCTCGTTCATTTCACCGAGTGCTTCTTGGCCTATGGTTAGTTCTCTACCTGTGTTGTCCCCTCCCAGTTTGGCATTCATGTCGCCCACTAGGATTCTGATGCCGCTAACTGGGGTGGGGTCTTGTCCAGTGTTGATTGCAGTTGTCTGTGGAATTCCCCCTTCTTCTCTTGATCTACATTATTTGTAGGTGCGTAGCATTGAATAATTGTAACTTTCCTTCCTTTTGAGTTGATCCTAGCTGTCATGATCCTTGAGGAAACTGGTTCCCACTGCATGAGAGCTTTTGATGCTCTTGGGGACATCGTGATAGACACTCCAAATTTCAGTGTGCTCATGGTTGTCGTTTGAGTGACAATGTGGGAGTAGATTATTGACTCTCCAGTTGACAGTTTGGAAAGTCCACTTCCATTCCATTTGCCGATTCCTCACAGATTCCTAGCACTTTAATGCCATACCCTCTCATCTCCTTTGCAATCTGGGCAGCCTTGATAGGTTCAAACATAGTGCGGACATCCCATGTCCCCATGTTCACTTTCGCTTTCATCGAGAGTGGACACATCGGCCAAACGACTTCTCGAAGGCTTTCACCAACCAAAGTCATTCTGCCTCCCCGAATCCAGCAAGGAATAAGTTTGCTTTTATTTTTATATTTTGTCTATGCTTTGAGGGTTCTTTAGCTATCTGATTGGTTTTCCGGGGTAGGGTTTCCAGCTCTATGTCCAACCTTTCCTCTTTATCCAGGCTTAGGTCCGGCTAGTAACTAGTGAACTAGTTAAACAGGCGAGGTTTCTGCGACAGTTAGTTTTCATATTTAGGAATATTTCGATGAAGAAATATAGGCAACGTTATCATGGCTTTGAATTTCAGTTATGAAATGTAAATCAGTATAATGGGATACAGAATGTCTATGCAGTACATTCATCTGATATGATTTTAGATAATTTGCCCACTTCAAATTCGGAGTAATTTGACAAATGTCAGTTGGGC